TTCCTCAGGAGAGGAATACAAACCCTGTGTGTGGGGACATGGGGGGTGTCCAGGCTACTGAATTGAGAGAGTATGACTCTCAGGATGCCTGGAGCCTCCTTGAAAGAAAGAAAAAGAAGGGGGGGGGAGCCCTTTGTAGCTCTGAAAGTTTGAGTGTTGGACTTTGACTCTGGAGACCAGGGTACCATTCCCAGATCAGCCATGGAAGCCCATCTTGGGCAAGTCACACTCTCTCAGCCTCACAGGAAGGACAGTGGTAAGCCTCCTCTGAACAAACCTTGCCAAGAAAACCCCAGGATATACAGTTGCCATAAGTAAATAACAATAAAAATGGGGAGCTAGTGTGGCATTTGAGTGTTGGACTATGACTCTGGAGACCAGAGTTGGATTCCCAGCTCGGCCTTGAAAACCCACTGGGTGACCTTGGGCAAGTCACACTTTCTCAGCCTCCTCAGGGGAAGGCAATGACAAACTCCCTCTGAACAGATTCAAACAAAAATCCACCAAAACAAAAATGTTCCCTCTGAACAGAGATCTTGCAGCACCTTTGAGACTCACTGGAAGAAAGAAATTAGCAACATGAGCTTTTGTAGACTTCAGTCTACCTCAGGGGTAGGCAACCTTTCCCCTTTAAGGGCCGAGGGACTTCAGCTCCCAGAAGCCTCAGCCATGTTGGCCAATAGTCCCATGTTGGCCAATAGCTCCTGGGATCCTGGGAGCTGAAGTCCCTCAGCTCTTAAAGGGGAAAGGTTGCCTACCCCGGTCTACCTCCTCAGATGCATTTGTAGGAAGCAGGCTGAAGTCTAGGAATGCTCATGCTGCCAATTTTTTTTTTCAGTGAGTCTCAAAGTTGCTGCAAGATCTCTCTCTCTACGTACTGATTCTACAGACTAACATGGTTATGTCTTTGAATTCTCCCTCTGAGCAAACCTTGCCAAGAAAACCCCAGAACAGGGTCACCATAAGTCGGAAAAGACTTGAGGGCACACAACACACACACACACACACACACACACACAGAGCAGCTCTTGTCAGAGGAGAGAGTTTCCAAACGGAGACGAGGAGCAAAAACCCCTTCGCAGGGTGACCAGAGGTCCTAATAACAGCAAAGGAGGACGAGGCGCCGTGAAATGGAGGACAATCGAGGAAAAATGGAGGGCATGACCAACTCAAAACAAAACAAAACCACTGCTAGAAATGTCAATCCGTGCTTCTTAGTCCTGCTCAAAATGAGGACATTTGGGAATTCCTCCTGGACAGAAAGTGAAAATGGAGGAGGGACATGCTAAAACAAATGAGACTACTTGCCCGTAGGGAGACCATACATGTCCATAGGGAATCATTGGGGAATACTTGCTATGGGCAAGTATTCCCCAATGATTCTCTATGAGCAAGTATTCCTCAATGTTTCCCCAAGGGCAAGTATTCCCCAATGATTCCCGATAAGCATGTATTCCCCAGTGTTTCCCTATGGACAAATATTCCCCAATGATTCCCCATAAGCATGTATTCCCAAATATTTCCCTAAGGGCAAGTGTTCCTCAATGTTTCCCTAAGGGCAAGTATTCCCCAATGATTCCCCATAAGCATGTATTCCCCAATGTTTCCCTATGGACAAATATTCCCCAATGTTTCCCTATGGACAAATATTCCCCAATGTTTCCCTATGGACAAGTATTCCCCAATGTTTTCCTATGGGCAAGTATTCCTCAATGTTTCCCTAAGGGCAAGTGTTCCTCAATGTTTCCCTAAGGGCAAGTGTTCCTCAATGTTTCCCTAAGGGCAAGTATTTCCCAGTGATTCTCTATGGGCAAGTTTTCCTCACTGATTTCCTATGGGCAAGTATTCCTCAATGTTTCCCTAAGGGCAAGTATTCTCCAATGATTCCCTATGGGCAAGTATTCCCTAATGATTCCCCATGAGCAAGTATTCCCCAATGTTTCCCTAAGGGCAAGTATTCTCCAATGTCAAGTTCCCTATGGACAAGTATGGTCTCCCTATGGACAAGTACTATC